AGATGGGGTATAATAAAGGGACAGAGGGGGAATTGTTGTGCAATAGAGGGACAGAAGGGGATTGGTGTACAATAGAGGGACAGAGGGGTAATGAGGTACACTAGAGGGGCAGAGCAGGGATTAGGGTAACATAGAGGGACAGAGGAAGATTAGGGTGTAATAGAGGGGCAGAAAAAGATTGGGGTACAATAGAGGGACAGAGGGGGGAATTGGGATATAAGAGAGGGACAGAGGGGGGATTGGGGTATAATAGAGGGACAGGGGGGTAATTGGGGTAAAATAGAGGACAGAGGGGGTGACTGGGGTACAATAGAGGGACAGAAGGGTGACTGGGGTACAATAGAGGGACAGAGGGGTGACTGGGGTACAATAGAGGGACAGAGGGGGATTGGGTTGTAATAGAGGAACGGGAAGGGTGACTGGGGTACAATAGAGGGACAGAAGAATATTGGGGTACAATAGAGGGACAGAGCGGAGATTGGAGTAACATAGAGGGACAGGGGGGTGATTGGGGTATAACAGAGGGACAAAGGTGAGATTGGGACACAATAGAGGAACAGAGGGGGTGACTGGGGTACAATAGAGGGGGAATTGGGGGCAGATATTTCCCTTCCAGCACACACTGTCTTACCATAGTAAGTTCGGTTCCACATGTAGCTTATGATGGCGGTGGCATTTTTCATGCTCTCCCCCTTCACTCTGGTCTCGTTGACCGCATGTGCGTACAACATGACCGAATCGTAGAACGCAGCTGCCACCGTGTTCATCTGTAAACAACATGAAAGAGGTCATGAGCCACAAATCTTGGCACGGCAGCACACACACATCCTGTGGCATTGTCCTTGCACGCTCACAGTCCCGTGTAATGACACCTCTGAGTCCTGCCAGCACCTGACACACGCACTGCGCACGCTCTCACCATAGTGGGACACTCCGGACCGACACTGGATCCTGTCCTAGATTGTATCTCATTGTCTTTTGCCTGCGGCCTAAGAATGAGGCTTTTCCTGCTGACGTGCACAGTCAGTGACCCCTGGGTCCAAGCGGTGAACATATCAAACTATGGGCAGAGGAGGCCCGGGGGCAACCAGGGGCAATGTGCCACAAATTCTGAAGTTGAAGCGAAGTCCACAGCAGCTCATCAGCAAGAAACCTCAGCTTCCATTATGCTGTAGGAGGTTTCCTAGCTCTGTTCCTGCACATGGTGTGCTATCAAGTATCATGCAGTAGATGGGGAAGGGGGGCTGTGAAGGAGGATGAGACTGTGAAACTTGGAGCTTTGTGTAATAAAGACCGGTCACTGCTGCTCTCTCTCCTTGTGCAGGGTGACTGGTCTTGTCTCCGCCCCCTCCTTTAATAAAGACCGGTCACTGCTGCTCTCTCTTCTTGTGCAGGGTGACTGGTCTTGTCTCCGCCCCCTTCTGTAATAAAGACCGGTCACTGCTGCTCTCTCTCCTTGTGCAGAGTGATTGGCCTGTTCTCCGCCCCCTCCTGTAATAAAGACCGCTCACTGTTGCTCTCTTTGCTTGTGCAGGGTGACTGGTCTTGTCTCCGGCCCCTCCTGCAGCTTTCTGCAGGCAGCCTGCAGTAGGTGGAGCCTGCTGGGTTCCTCCCACAGCTCTGCTCTTTGCTCAGTCTATGTACAGCTCAGTGATGATGTCACTGCTGCCTTCACAAGGCAAAATCTTCGCTTGCGCACAGAGACATTTTTTATAAATTAAATAAAGGTAAAAAAAAAACCCTGCTAAGGGAAACAGGAGGAGGAAAGGGCTCCTCAGGGGAGGGGCAGAATTTTTTTAAATATCTGTTTTTTTTTTCTCTGGACAGGTTCCACATGCTCTGTCGTGGTAAGGCTGATGTCACACGGGCGACTCTGATACTAGCGACACATTGTCACGTAGGAGAGCCTTCCACTCACCTCTGTGAAATCGCTCCATTGCTGGCCCCCGATCGCTGCCAAATCTTGTTCGTCTTGCTGACTTAGGTAGCGGTAAGCTAGCAGACAGGCTCTTGGTGATCGTGTCACTGGTGATCTATCGCCAGAGTCCAGACTGTCCAGTCCGCAAGCCTTCAGTGTTGCACAGAATTAAGTCATTTACAGGGATTACTCAAGCAGGAGCCGCTCTGATTGGCTCCTGCTTGTCACATGGGGACGTCACCACTGACAGGGATCCCATACATGTGGGAGCAGCACTATAACTAATTCTTATATCATGTCATTTACAATCTGTAGCTTTCATTAAAATAATCCCTGCAGATCCTGCCACGAGGGACCTTGTTCAGGCACTTCCTGTCAGAGTGTGCACATTCACCATCCAAAAACCAAGCAGCAATATGGCAGTGATATGGACATAGTGCCCCGACCCCTCTGCCCCCCTCTAATCCCGCACTCACCAGCGTGCTCTCCAGGGTGTGATTGAATTTGGGGGCGTAGCTCTTCAGATCTTGCAGGAATGCAAAGTACTCCGGGTTTTCTGGCTCCTTGTAGGTGATAATCATCACTGACTGACCAGGAGAGACAACACATAAGAGGGTATCTGCACAATCACATTATTCATAGGACACTTGCAGGCTTCTGACTGAACATGACTCATATACAGGTGAAACTCGAATAATTAGAATATCGTGCAAAGTTCATTTATTTCACTAATACAACTTAAAAGGTGAAACTAATATATGAGAGAGACTCATTACATGCAAAGCAAGATAATTCAAGCCGTGATTTGTCATCATTGTGATGATTATGGCTTACAGCTCATGAAAACCCCAAGAACCCCAAATCCACAACCTCAAAAAAGTAGAATATTACATGCAATCAATAAAACAAGGATTGTACATAGAACAATATCGGACCTCTGAAAAGTATAAGCATGCATATGTACTCAGTACTTGGTTTGGGCCCCTTTTGCAGCAATTACTGCAATTACTTTTGCACGATATTCTAATTATTCGAGTTTCACCTGTACATATAACTGAAATATCATTTTTGGATGGACTGGCCCTTTAAGCATGTGCCGTGTTTTTATGCTCTTGGTAATGATGTTTTCACAGGTATAATTACCAGACATGGTGGGCCAAAGAAGGGCAGATGTCCCCCGAGAATATTAGGGTGTAATACTGACACAAAAGGGGAATAGGGGTATAATAGAGGAACAAAGGAGGGATTGGGGTATAATAGAGGGACAGAGAAGGTCTGAGGTACACTAGAGGAACAGAGGGGGGTTTCCAGAATAATTGAGAGACAGAGGGGGGATCGGGGTACATTAGAGGAACATCGGAGGGAATTGGGGTACAATAGAGGGACAGAGGGGGGATTGGGGTACAATAGAGGGACAGAGGGGGAATTGGGGTACAATAGAGGGACAGAGGGGGGATTGGGGAATAATAGAGGGATGGGTGGTAGGGTATAATGGGGTATAGAGAGTTGATTGGGGTACAGTATAGGGACAGAAGAGGTACTGGGGTACAAAAGCAGAACAGAGGAGGTAATGGGGTATAATAAAGGGGCAGACAGGGATTGGGGAACAAAAGAGGAACAGAGAGGGAATTGGGGTACCATAGAGTGACAGAGGGGGATTGGGGAATAATAGAGGGATGGGGGGTAGGGTACAGTAAGGCAATCGGGTTACACTAGTGGAACAGAGGGGGAAGTGGGGTACAATGGGAAAATAGAGAGTGGATTGGGGTACATTATGGGAACAGAAGAGGGATTGGGGTATAAAAGAGGGACAGAGGGCTATTGGGATACAACATCAAGATGGTGGAGGAATTAGGGTACATTAGAGGAACAAAGGGGGGATTGGAGCACAAAAGAGGAACAGAGGGGGGATTGGGTACAGTATAGGGACAGGAGAGGGATTGGGGTATAATAGCAGGATGGAGGAGGTATTGTGGTACAATTGAGGGACAGAAGGTGGGGGGTTGGGGTTAAGTAGAGGGGCAGAGGGAGGACTGTGGTATAGTAGATGGACAAAGGGGGGGATTGGGGTACAGTAAAGGAACAATAGGGCAATTGGGGTACACTAGCTGGACAGAGGGGGTTAGGTTATAATTGAGAGACAGAAGGGGGACTGGCGTACCATAGGGAAACAGATGGGGGACTGGGGTATAATGGGGGGACAGAGAGTGAATTGGGGTACAGTATAGGGACAGAATAGTGACTGAGGTATAATAAAGAAACACGGATATGAGATTAAGTGCTTTCCAACTTGCTACACAGAAGTCCAGAACACTAGGACAACGTGATCCGTATTAATAGCTTGTTCAATATTGTCCAGCTTACCAATTTAGGATGCAGATACAATAACTGAATGTTTTTATTAATCAGATAAAAAAAATTGTACAAGAGGTTGTATTAAGCTCTGTTGCCTATGCCTGTATGTGGAAAATCAATAACAATTTGTTGGAAATAAAAAAAAAAAGAAGGGGATTGGGGTACAATAGCACAACAGAGGAGGGATTGAGGTACATTAAAGGGACAGAGGGGTTATTGGAGCACAAAAGAGGAACAGTAGGGGTATAGGGAGGAGATTGGGGTACAGTATAGAAAAGTATGGACACCGGAACTCCAAGGATAAAAGTACGTCTATTTATCGATGCACGTGCACCTTGCTCTGCCTGATGAAGGGGATCCTGCGTGACCCCGAAATGTCACAATGAGCATGTTTTGCACGTGCGTCGATAAATAGACCTACTTCTATCCTTGGAGTGCCGGTGTCCATACTTTTCTTTATTACTGGACGGTTGCCATCCGTCGGCTGCCGATTCACCCACCTTTCTTACCATGGATGAGCGTTTGAGGAGTGCAATGGGTACATGGATTGGGTACAGTATAAGGACAGGAGAGGGTTTGGGGTACAATAGAGGGACAGCGGGGGAATTGGGGTACAATAGAGAAGGGATTGGGGTACAATAGAGGGACAGAGGGGGGATTGGGGTATAATAGAGGGACAGAGGTGGGGATTGGGGTACAATAGAGGGACAGAGGGGGGAATGGGGTATAATAGAGGAACATAGGGGGAATTGGGGTACAATAGAGGGGGGATTGGGGTACAATAGAGGGACAGAGGGGGGATTGGGCTATAATAGAGGGACAGAGGTTGGGATTGGGGTACAATAGAGGGACAGAGGGGGGATTGGGGTATAATAGAGGAACATAGGGGGAATTGGGGTACAATAGAGGGGAGATTGGGGTATAATAAAGGGGCAGAGGGGAATTGGGGTATAATAATGGAACAGATGGGGGGATTGGGGTACAATAAAGGAACAGAGGGGGGAGTGGGGTATAATAGGGGAATAGAAAGTTGATTGTTGTACAGTATAGGGACAGAAGAGATATTGGGGTACAAAAGCAGAACAGAGGAGGTAATGGGGTATAATAAAGGGGCAGACAGGCATTGGGGTACAGTATAAGGACAGGAGAAGGTTTGGGGTATAATAGAGGGATGGAAGAGGGATTGGGGTAGAGGTTGGGTGCATGGGGTCAAATAGAGGAACAGAGGGAGAATTGGGGTGCAGTAAAGAGATAGAGGGGGGATTGGGGTATAATAAAGGGCGGTGTAGGGGGTACATTAGAGGAACAGAGACGGGATTGGGGTGCAGTGTGGGGGGGGGGGATTAGGGTACAGTTGAAAGACAGAGGAGGGATTAGGGTATAAAGAAGTGACAGGTGGGGATTGGAGTGCAGTAGATGGATAGAAGAGGGATTAGGATATAATAAAGGGGCACAGAGGGGGATTGGGGTATAATAAAAGGCGGTGTTGGGGGTACATTAGAGGAACAGAGAGGGGATTGGGGTGCAGTGGGGGGGATTAGGGTACAGTTGAAAGACAGAGGAGGGATTAGGGTATAAAGAAGTGACAGGTGGGGATTGGAGTGCAGTAGATGGATAGAAGAGGGATTAGGATATAATAAAGGGGCACAGAGGGGGATTGGGGTATAACAGAGGGACAGAGGTGGGATTGGGGTATAACAGAGGAGGAGAGGTGGAGTGTGGGTACAATAGTGAGAGCGGTTTGGCATACTGTATAGAAATATCTGTAATCCTACAACCTCTCATTTATTAACCCTTTGCTACCTTTCAGTCGGCTTGATTTAATGCCGACAGTGGAGCGCAGCATTGGTGAGTGACAGCTCACACCTGGGAACCAGAATCCGCGGGGGGCCATCAACCTAAGTGCCGCTTCCATAGAAGTCACGGGTGACGGGGTGTTCCAGTTCACTGTGTATGTGTGAGGGGGAGGGAAGGAGATGCCATTTCAGAAATGTCAGCTGCACAGGCCTAGAGTCACCTTCCGTCACTGCGTCTCCCTTTGTCTCACATGCAGCAAGGCCTCTATGACAAATCCTCTGCCACAAACTGACGTGAATGTAAAGTAAAACTCTGCCGTATACTCAGCCAGTCACATTACTGTTGATGTTCCATATTCATATGATGAGCGGATAACATTGATATATACAACTACAGAATTTTAAGAAGTTCGCAGATTCTCTTTCACTTTTTGTGACCAATTTCATATTTTCTAATTACTCGCTACCTTCCCCTCATCCATTATTTTACGCTCTGCCTTGTCTCTTGGAGACCACGGCCGCCCTAAAGGAAGCACTCCGTCTCATCCCTTCCTCCGACAATACCCTGCATCCCTTCGTCTGTCAGAATGCATGACTCACAAAGTATGGAAATATGGAGGGCCCGGGGCCCTAGACACATAAGCATTCAAAGGCACACTTATACCAATCTGGAAAGCTCAAAGCTACCCAGGGCCTGTATGAAGATTAACCCCAAACCTCTGCAAATCCCTCCATCCAATTCTCCTTTAATAAGCTGCAAAGACTTTGAAGTTGGCCAAGAAGAGAAAGGATTGGATGGCTTTACCTTAAACGCCTCCATGGCCTTGTCGTCGTCGGCGTCACCTCTGTACCAGGGCTGCCGGTAGTCGGGAAAGGTGGAGCCCTGGAGGCTGGAGCCGTAGTTGTCAATGTAGAAGAAGACGTAGTCGCCGGAGCACAGGCCTTGGCTCCAAGCTTGCAGCATGAGTTGGCGGAAGTCGTCCGGTGGGCAGCAGATGTAGATAACTAGAAGGGGAGTGGAAACATGGAGGAGAATTAGGAAACCAAAAACATTAGAGACTAAAAATATATCACATCCCAAAAATAAATATTCACCGGCTGACCCTTAACCTCAAGATAACCCCCAAACCTCAAAGGAAAATGTGCCCGGCTATGACAATCAATGCATATTATCACAGTGAGCAATACGATTACAGACATACAAGTTCTACCAGTATTTTGAGGTACAAATGTGTGATTTTGGCGCCTATGTACAGTGCGCCAAAGTCGCCGCACCAAAATTCAACGTACTGTTGTGGCCAATATGAAGAAAACTGTCCATCTCATGACCAAAGCGTTGGTCATCAACAAGGTTATAGCTGAAATGGAAGTAGCCTAAGAACTGCTGATCGTCTTCCTGCATCCAAGGTTGAAATGACAACACAGTACCAATCAACAACTGAACGGCTGGATCATGGATCTGGTTGACCATGGATGTGATTCTCAAAGCCCCGGTCAAACCTAATCAAACAATCTCAATAACATGTGTTATAGGGTATTTAATAGCATGTATCCCACCTCACTCCAAACCGGAATCCCAATATGATCAAATGGGCGCTGGTGTGACCGGCGGATGCGCCGTGTAAATCCAATTTGCAAGTAGTCACCCGCACACCAGGTCCAATGTTGTCAAACGCCTTTATTTAGATGTTAAAAATACATGCTGGCACTAGTGGACAGCAACGTTTCAGCACCATCAGTGGTTCCTTCATTAGTCACTATGTTTGCCTCATGAAGGAACCACTGATGGTTGCAAAACCTTGCTGCCTACCGTGTATTCTTAACGCCTAAATAAAGCTGTTTGACACATTGGAGTTGGTGTGTGGTTGACCACTTGCAAAAAAGTGTATTTAATGACATGTCCTCAAAATATATTTGACCTTTCTGCTAATGTGTTGGTGTTTGCCACTCTCCATCTTGATTCTTCTGCAGGATCTGTAAAAACTTTAGTTCTCACCCCCACACTTCCATTACCAGGGTGGCAATGCTGCCTTTGCATGCACTGTATGGAGGGGCAGAGAAAACTACTGGTAGATGTGCCGACCTTCCAGAGTAGGTCACATCATTGGACAGTGTAAGGGTAAAATGGCGCAAAGACCCTACCTCCGAAGACGGACCATAGCGCGCAGGTGCGCGCAACCAAAGGTGCTCGGGAAGATGCGTAAACAGCAGGCGCACAGGAAATGACATCTTACCTCATAGGTGGCTATATAAGAACGAGCCTGAGATCACAACATTGCTGATGGTCTTGTCAGCTAGTGCTTCCTGTTGAATTGCATGTGACCTGTTTCGACATGGATTGTCTTGGACCATTCTGCTGCTTGCTGCCTGCCCCTGACCTTGGCCTGTTTTCTGGACTTCGCTCTTGCCTTCTGATTCGGTACCTTGCTGCCCGGCTGGCTCTGACCCTTGGCTTTCTGGACCACGATTCCTGTCTCCTGAATCTGTTCCCATGCTGCCTACCCGGTTATGACCTTTGGCCTGCTGACTTCGCTACCAGACATCTCCTGCTTGGTGTCTGCTTCCATCCGTGGCACTCGTGCTCCTCGCTGTCCTGCAGCCTTCTGTTCCAACCCCAGGGGTTGCAGGACACGAGTCTCAAAAGAAGCCTCCTTGTCTTCCCGTCTCTGCCTCAGGTACGTGATAGACTGCCTCCATCCCACCACCAACAGCATCACTAGGTCTTCACTAGTTGCACGTGCACAGGCAACCAGAGGAAGTACTTTTGTACTGCACTGCGGCAACATGCGTGGAATTGATGATCAAAAGTAAGCTTACTTAGGGAAGGCAGTATTTTGATGTGGGGGATTTTGATAATGGATGCGGGGATTAACATTAGCAAAGTTTACATGCTGAGGGTTTAGTTGTGTTTTTATTACAAATGCCAGATAATCCGAAAGTGAATATATTGTTACCTACGTAGAGGATAATTCTGTAATAAGCCTCCTACAGGGGGAATCAGCAGATTAGGTGAGGGAAAAGGGATATATTAGGAAAGGAATTTGGCTTTTTTTTTCTCTACAGGATGTAGGGGAGCAGCTGGTAGATAATAGGCAGTGCCAGTTATGCCCAGGGACCCTGACATCATAGACCCGGAGCAGTAGAACCATCTGCACCCCCTTTAGCTGCCGTCTAGACTTCAGCCCTATGGACCCTGGCAGAGATCTAACTGCCTTATGGCTTGGATGAGAGTCCAGATTGTTGGTGTGCATGTGGGTTAGCATCTGAATAAAAATACCACAAATTCTGAGAATTGTCGATACAGTGAAGGCTACAGTTATGGAAGAGAAAGACAACAGACAGATGATACTGCTGTAGAATGTCGTGTTACAAGATAATGATCCCTCCTATGAATAGGTACAGTAATTTGCCAGCCAGGTTTCAAAGGAACCAGCGATGACGGGCACTTGGCGTTCATGAGAGCCATCAACCAGGCCAGGTGCGGGAGGTGAATTTGCTCTTGACTGCCAGCCAGAGAAATATGGAGGCAATTTGATGCCTCGGAGTTATTGTGGAGTTATTGTGGTTTCAGCCGTACAGCTGGGTGTCATTAATTCTCTTTGTCAGAGAGTTTTATGTATTAGTTTCTCATGTTCGAGATCTTCAAACTTTCTCCAGCAACGTGGGGGACCCAACATGCTCTTAATCTTTAAGTGCTTCACCACTTCTATTTTGGCCTGAATTTTTATTCTGACAGCAAATAACATTCTGCTGAATGGAATTTAACCCGTTCTTGGTGGATACTACAAGAGAGCTACAGTTAGGTTAGGAAACAGCAAACGCAACCACAAAGCAGACCTAGACCATGCAGATATCTTGCCTTTCTGTATGTTATCAATTCAGCCCTCATCCATAAACAGAACAACCAGGGACTGCAAGCTAAGAGGCTTCAGAAATGAGAAATTGCTTTCCACGTGAAGAACATCAGACACTGAATGTTTTTTTTTTAAATATATTAGCAATATGTAAATTGATATAAGACAAAAATGTAAGACTATGACAAATGATTTATGGAAATTGGGATAATAAACAATTCATATGTCAAGAATGTCTTTCCACAAACAAAACATTGTGTCTGTTTTCACAGCAAACATTTCCTTAAATTGTATTCGACCCAAAACAATCCTTCCAACTAGAGACCTAACGCAATTCTTCCAAAACAGACTCAGTGAAATCCAAAATCATACGTTCCTGTCACAAAGATTCAACAACATTTAAACAACTAAAACCAACACAATCTTGCCAAACAAAACCCAACACAAAACTGTGAAGCAAGACCAAACACAACCCTGCCTATCAGACCCAACACAATCCTGCCAACCAAAACCCAACACAACTCTTCCTACCAGATTCAAAAAAATCCTGCCAAACAAAACCCAACACAACCCTGCCTACCAGATTCAATACAATCCTGCCAAGCAAAACCCAGCACAACCCTGCCTACCAGATGCAAAATAATCCTGCCAACCAAAACCCGAAACAACCCTACCTATCAGACCCAATACAATCCTGCCAACCAAAACCCAAAACAACCCTGCCTTCCAGATTCAATACAATCCTGCCAAGCAAAACCCAACAAAACCCTGCCTACCAGATGCAAAACAATCCTGCCAACCAAAACCCAAAACAACCCTGCCTTCCAGATTCAATACAATCCTGCCAAGCAAAACCCAACAAAACCCTGCCTACCAGATGCAAAACAATCCTGCCAACCAAAACCCAAAACAACCCTACCTATCAGACCCAACACAATCCTGCCAACCAAAACCCAAAACAACCCTGCCTTCCAGATTCAATACAATCCTGCCAAACAAAAAGCCAACACAACCCTGCCTACCAGATTCAATACAATCCTGCCAAGCAAAACCCAGCACAACCCTGCCTACCAGATGCAAAACAATCCTGCCAACCAAAACCCAAAACAACCCTACCTATCAGACCCAACACAATCCTGCCAACCAAAACAATCCTGCCTATCAGACCCAACACAATCCTGCCAACCAAAACCCAGCACAACCCTGCCTTCCAGATTCGATACAATCCTGCCAACCAAAACACAACACAACCCTGCCTACCAGATGCAACACAATCCTGCCAACCAAAACCTAACACAAAATTTTCTACCAAGACCCAACACAGCCCTACCTACCAGACCCAACACTATCCTGCCATCCAAAACCTAACACAACCATGCCTACCAGATTCAATACAATCCTTTCAACCAAAACCCAACACAACCCCGCCTTCCAGATTCAATACAATCCTGCCAACCAAAACCCAACACAACCCTGCCTACCAGATGCAACCCAATCATGCCAACCAAAACCTAATACAAAATTGTCTACCAAGACCCAACACAGCCCTACCTACCAGACCCAACACGATCCTGCCAACCAAAACCCAACACAACCTTACCTACCAGACCCAACACAATCCTGTCTACCAAAACCCAAAACAACCCTTCCAACCAAAACCCAACCCAATGCTGCCACCCAAAACCCAACACAATCCTACCAACAACAACAACACAACCCTGCCAACCAAAACTCAACACAACTCTCCCAACCAAAACCCAACACAATGCTGCCACCCAAAACTCAACGCAATTCTGGCAACCAAATCCCAGCACAATCCTGCCAACTAAAACCCAACATGGTCCTACCAACCAAAACCTAACACAATCCCACCAACAACAACACAACCCTACCTACCAAAATATAACACGCCTGCCTACCAAAAAACTAGCACTAACCTGCCAGCTAGACTTAGCACACCCTATTATTCAGATTCTAGAGATCCAAAACATTCCTTCTATCACCTAAATAATATTCAACAAACACAACCTGTCCAACCAGACCCAACATGCTCCAATCTCCCAGACATCAAGAACATGTTTTCTAGGACTTGAATATGGTACAGCCAGCACAGTCATGCCAACCAGACTCAACGTCATTCAAACAACAAAG